TCCATGAAGTTGTCCTCTGACCTCTACATGTGTACCACATGCAGTCACACACGCACACACACACGCATGCGCACAGCAAAATCCCCAAGACCCAGGCTGATAAAGGAGGGGGTTTATGGCCCTGTGGGTAGGAGACAACTGGATAGGAAACAGTTCAAGAGGAGTGTTTCTAGGTTGGCACCAGTCTGTACCTACATTGACTTGGGAGTGGGTGGAGTGCCGAGTGGCAGACGATTTCACGAGGCTTGCCTGTCTGTCGGCAGAGACGTGGATATGAGTTTGGTGGTTTGCTGTGGAGCAGATTCATATCTATGGTCCAGAAACAGGTCCAGAATGGGTCAGTTCTACAAGCCCAGGTGCAGCCTTTGTATGGAACATGGTCACTCAGTTCTCGCCCAGTGTGATGTATATGTACATGCCCGGGATCCGTTTTAGCAATAGTATGGAGTGGACATCCAGGTCACAAAGTCAAAGAGTTTTGCCACCTGACCTGGACCAGCAGAACCTTCTTCAGCGATGGGGTCCTAAGTGGGAGGGACAGGAGATGAGAAGATAAAGAACTCAGAAAGCTGGGCTTGGGAGTTCTTATGCCAAGCAAGTTTCTTATGAAGTCCAGCATCTTAGATACTGTGTGGGGTGTGTGGGGGAATGGGACAGAGTCAGCAGAAAGCTCTTATACAATGAGCCGCAACAAGAAGCTAATCAAGCAATGTTGCACAGTGGAACACGTGACTTTATGGATGGCGTACACGGCGGCCTTGGGACTGATAAGTCCAGTCTCAGGATGGTTGAGTTCTCAGGATCCGATGGAGTTCCCCCAGGGCCCTGGCCCCGGGCTCTCACTAGTTCGACCAAGTGTATTCCTGGTTTTAGACAGGGAACCTTCTCAGTGCAGCAGGGCCTCAGGGCAAGTCTTGGGTCAGCCCAGGCCTCCACAGCCACCACCCAGGCTAAGGGTAGGGCCCCACCATCAGACAAGTGGGCAGCTGGCTTCTATCCTTGTTTTCAGAGGCAGCTACTGAATTGATGAATTTGCTGACAGTCCCCTGGCTTTTTTTTTCTTAAAAGTGTGTGTGTGTGTGTGTGTGTGTGTGTGTGTGTGTACACATATGTACTCTGTAGTCAGAGGACAACTCTCACGAGGTTGAGCACTCCTTCCACCATGGATTGTCTTCTAGGCATTGCCTTGAGACCTCTGCATTTCTCTGTCTCTGACAAGGGCTCTGTTTGTCAGCACCATTCATTATTAAGGTATGATTCAAGCAGTGTACAGATCACCCCATTAAAGTGTGTGGTTCATGGAAGCTGGAAAGGTGGCTCAGGGGTTAAGAGTGCATACTGCTCTTCCAGAGAACCTGAGTTTGGCTCCCAGCACCCATGGTGAGTGACTGAAAACTGCCTGTGACTCTGACTTGGGGGACCCTATACCGCCTTCTGGCCGCTGTGTGTCCCGCTCTCACACGCACATACGCACGTACACACACATCATGAGTGTTTAAAGCATGTGGTTGAGTGGATCCTAAGGCCCTTCCAAGATGACTTCTGTCGACTTCCCAGCACCCAGAGCAAAGGTCACCTCATCTGAGCCTTCCAGGGTAGCCTCAGGCTGTGTCTTTTCCCAGAGGAACTGGTCCTTCCCTGTGACAGTCACACTGCACCAGGACACCTGGTGCAGTCTCATTGGTGACACAGTCCCACAGAAGACAGCTGACATCCTGACTCTTTCCTGGCCTCTTTCTATGGTTGGCAAAATTACTCCCGTGCTGGACAGACCTCCCATTTTAAATAAAGTTTTATAGAGCATTGTCTATGACTATATTATACAGTGGAGGTTGGATGAGTAAGACGGAGATTATTTAGACCCTCAGAGCCTGAGTCCTCAACAGTCTGTCCTTTGTAGAAAATTCTTTTTTCTCCTTGGCCTCAGTGATACGGGTGCAGGTTTCTGGTTTGTGTGGTGTGGTATTCATCAGGTTACCTGCTCTGTAATTTCCAGAACAAGCAGGATGGCTTGAGAAAGGATGAGAAAGGATTCTCCAAGCTGACCCCGAAGCTGCAGTTGAGTTCCCCCAGCCTGCTCTGGACTCCTAGGAGAGGGGAGAGGTGGGAGGGTGGCTTCATAACAAAAGCCTGGTTCTCTGTGCAGATTTTCCTGTGGATATAGAGCCCCAGAGTGTGTGTTCGTCAGTGTGTCTTGAGGATCCGCATGTGACTTGAGACATCATTTGCCCCCTTCCTGACCTGCGGCTGTGGGTGGTTCTGACTTTCCTGACACCCTGCTGGGGTCTAACCACCTTCTGCAGAGATAGCGGAGCTTGTGTGGCAGAAGCAGCCTTCGCCAGGCTCCTCTCGTTATAACAGAGACCTGGCTGGGACGCTGACCAGCTGGTTCTTAACCAAGGAAGAGGGAGGTATCTGGAGAGGCCCTGACTTTAGAGCCGCTCGGCTGGTCGAGTACCTCCCTGTCTAACAAACCCTGAGAGTATAGTAGAGAAGGCCTTGACGGGTCACGTTCGGAAAGATGTCCTGATGGGCTCCCCAGATGTCAGCCCCACGGGCCCCTTCCAGGAGTCTCACCTCCCGGGAAACCTGTGGTCTCTGCTCAGGGGCTACGGGGACAAAGGTGCCAGAAGAGGCAGTCTCCCCTTCAAGCTGTGGATGGGAGCACACAGTGACTCCTTTTCCTTCGGGGACCCTTGAACCCAGCTTGGCTTCTCTCCACTCTACCCTTGGAAGATGGAGCAGGAATGTCTAAGAGTTTTCCAAGGTCACCAGGACTGTGGCAGGGCCAGCAGTCCCTAGAGACTCAAGCAGGAGCAGGCTCCCGGCTTTGGATACAAGGGTGCTGTTCCTTAGGGGAGGGGAGCAGGAGGCTGGGTGTCCTTGTGGAGGCTTGGTGACAAAGATGTTGTGTCTCAACGTACGCCTTCTGGAGTCTCCCATGGGCGTGCTGGCAGAGCAATCAGGATTATAAAAATAAGCCTGTATCCAGGAATTTTTTTTTTTTTTTGAGAATTGGTAACAGACACCAGTAAGCATTTGGTCACAAGTTTATTCAGTCTTGCTTGTCTGGGGAAAAGGTCAGCACCCGGATGTGTAGCACCTGGGGTCACTAGTCAGTGTAGCGCCAGGTGTCCTGCGGGTAGCAGATGATGCTAGTCCTTCACTTGCTGTGTGGTGCGAGGTGAACTCGGGACCTCCTCCGTGAGCCACTCTAACACTGAGTGTGCCTCCCCCAGCCTGGCATGGTAGATATTTTAAATTAAAATGTAAAAGTGAGGACATGTGAGGGAATCAGATTCCTGTTTGCAAGTGCATTTTTTCAATTTCCTAAAATGGACTTGATTATACACGTTTTTTTTTTTTTCTTTTAAAGTTCGTACTTGCTATGATTGCCTAATAACAGGCAGTCAACCTGGCACTCTCTATACCTGACTGTCCTGGCCAGTGTGACCTGTGTTGTTTAGCAGAGTGGATATTTGGGGGTTTCTGTTGGTGATGTTTTTTGTAGGTGCTGGCCAGTTACCTTCATGGGGTCCACCTATTGTCTGGACCTCCTCAGCACAGGGATTGCCAGCATGTGTCTCCACCTCCACCTCACCCCTCCCCACCCTAAGCCTTTTCCATTCTGCTGGAGCTCAAACATAGGTCCTCCTACTGTCCCAGCAAGCGCTCTCTCCAACTCCCAGCCTGCCTACTGGGTTCATGCAGAGCCTGGGGCTTGTGTCAGGAGAGTACAGGTGCAGCAGGGCTGGATGTGGCAGCATCACTGTCATTCCCAGCCAGACCTAGAGAGAGTAGGAATGGGAACCGGAAGCCGAGAGCAGTTTGGGGCAAAAGAACCACCTATCAGGAACCACCAGCACATTCTATGTCCAGCCCCTTTTCTTTGGCTGAAGATGTGAGATGAGGGGCAAGGAGAAAGAGACATAAAAGCCAATCCCAGGGCTGTATCCATGAGTTCCCCAGAGAAACAGATTCAACCAGGAGAGAAGGCCCAGGGTTTGATACGGGAATGGGCTCCCACCGTGATAGACTGTGAGCCACCATTGCAGGCCAGAAAGCAGGGATGTGGTTTTTATCTGTGTTCAAAGACTGAAGAATGGAGGTGGATGGAGTGAGCCTGGAGTGCAAAGGGCAGGGAGCCAGGAGCCCTCGTGGCTGTAGACAGCAGATGAGTGTCCACGAGCAGAGAAAGAATGCTCCCTTCTTCTGGGTTCTCAAACTTGCTCGGGGTAGCCCAGGAAGCCTGGTTCAAAGCTAATAGTGTCCAGAAATGGCTCTAGATTCAAAGCTAATCGTGTCCAGAAATGGCTCTAGATCCAAAGCTAATCGTGTCCAGAAATGGCTCTAGATTAACCAGCTTGCTGAGTGTCCCTTAGCTCGGTCAAGTTGTCATAGAAAATAAACCATCACCAGGGTGTGAGAAAGGCTTTGGTGGTCAGTGGCCTCTCCCAGAGCTTGTCCAACCCAGTCAAAGCCCTGGGTTCCAGGATCAGCTGTCCTGATCCTATGCTCTCCGAGAGTCCCACACCTCAGCTCACTTTTCCTCGATGGAGGAAACGCTTGACTCTTTATCAAAGCCACATTCCGCAAACTTAACCGCAGTTTAGTGGTCCCGTTTTTAGAGAATGTTCCAGCTCTAGAAACATAGTCAAGCATGTCAGACTTTGAGTTCTGTAGGGTTATGAGTGACAGAGGGGGCCGAAGCTAAGATTCTTCCTTCACCTGCCTCAGTCAGAGTCCCCAGAGCTGTTAGGAAGTAACCCATATGCCCTCTGACCAAGTCCAGCCAGCTGCTATCTCTACAGAAGGTGGTGTAGGAAGAATTTGTCCTTGGGACCTAGAAGTCTGTCGCCTTAGTGTTCTGACAGCTAGGGTGGAGGGAGAGGTCTGATGTTGTCAGCCTGGGGGAGGGAGGGTGTCCTCCATGCTGCTGTGGCTGTGACCTGAGAGTTTCTGTATTGCTTGGCCTCTGTTTGTCAAAACCTCTTTAAACAGGCACCTTCAAAAAGCTCACGACCCCTGCCGCTTTAGACAAATCTGTGATTGCTTTTCTCCCATGAACCTTTGTCCTCTCACTGGTCTGTCTCTATCCCTGAGCTCACCCCCTGCGGATGATGTCACAGCACAACAGCTCTGCTGTCCCCATGGCAACAGCCTCCCATAGTTAACCAGCCAGGGCAGATACTAGGCTGCTGACAGAGGTGGGGAGAGGTGATTCCAGCTAACCTGGGCCAGCGACCCCTAAGACCCCACGTGGACCACCTTAGGACAAAATTGTAAGATTGTGACGTCTGCCCCTTCTCCTCTGGGAGGGGGTTTCTTGGCCCCATGCCCAGGCCAAGTTCTGATGTAGGTTTAAGGGTCCCCGTCTTAGAAGGATGACTAGGTGCTGAGAGTAGGGGCTGGAGCTTGGGGAGACTCTATAGCTGCCTTAAGGAGTGGGAGGGACGTCATGACGGAGCAAGAGTGGCAGCCAGTGTGGGCGCCCCTGACATGGCTAGGGACTTGGAAAGCAGGTAGTGAGCACCACCCCTATATTTAGTAAGGCACCAGCTGGATCAGCTGTAAGTGCCCCTGTTGGTTGGTGGATGCCCAAACTCTGAGGTCGGAGGTCAGCTTTGCGACAAGGTTTGTCTTTGGAAATATAAGCTTGTCCTTTATCCCCTTAGCTGGCTGTCCATCTTTCTTAGCCTGGTAGAGCCCTCCCGGTCCCGGTGGGGCTTGAGGAGACGGTAAAATGTTGGTATGTAGCCACGCCCCTAGGATTTGGAGAAAAACCTGCTATGATCTTAGGCAGGGCTTATGTTTCACCAGGCCCTCGCCTAGCAGAGTTGCTGGCTCTGCTACTCTACCCGACCCAGCAACTTTATGAATGACCCCTCTAGACCTTAGCTGGATGAGGAAGTGTCAGAAACAGGGTACAGGACAGCACACTCTGAGGCATAGAAGTTGAACTCAAAGAAATGGAGTTAAACACATTTCTGATGTTTATTTCACTTGGGCTTGGCTTGGATGCTCCAGTGATGGGTGTCTCACTGCCTACCCAATGATTTCAAGACAGTCCTTTGGAAGGTGTTTCCTTTTGCCCGACCAACCCTTGCCTCCCTGTAATGTGTCCTCGGTGGTCTGGCTTGGTCATCTGGAGACACAGACGGTAAGTACCAACCTATCCCTACATGACTGGCTGTGCATCTAGGTGGTCCTCACAGTGATGGGAGAGGCTGCCATCACACACTTCACAGATGAGGGACTGAGGCAGCGGCATTCAGATCCTTTCCTGGGGCACATAGCATGCCACCCAGACTCCTCCATGCTCCTCAGGCCTACAAAGGCCTCTGGCTTTTCTCATTGTCCTTCTGAGTTCCTTGTTGGCGTGCCCTTTTTCCATCCTAATCCAGAACACTCTGGGAGAAAGTTTTCCACATCTGGTTCTTCCTTGCTCTTCCAACACTTCATCCAGCTGTTCTTTCTCAACTCCTGTTTCTCTGTGTAGCCCTGGCTGTCCTGGAGCTCACTGTAGACCAGGCTGGCCATCCTCCTGTGTCTGCCTCCCGAGTGCTGGGATTAAAGGCGTGTGCCACCAGACCCAACTCACACTTTTGATTTGTTGGTTGCTTTTGATTTGTTGTTGGGTTCTGTACGTGCCAGAGGCTCATACCAGGTGTCTTCCCTGCTGGCTCTCTACCATAGACTCTGAGACAGAGTCTCTCACTGAGCCTGGAGCTCACCAGTTTGGATACACTGGCTGATCTGTGAGCTCCAGGGGATCTACCTACCGGTTTCTGCCTCCCCTACACTGCTTGCAGGCATGAGCTGCCATGCCCAGCTACTTTACATGGGTGCCAGAGACCCACACTCAGGTCCTCATGTTGAGACAGCAAGAGCTTTACTGACTGAGCCATCTCCTCAGTCCCTCTTGTGCCTTTAATTAATTATCTTGTGACCTTGTCACTGTCCATTCACTGATACTCCCCATCCCTTTAAAGTCACAGACCCACGACTGCCCGTCAGTTTCCTGTACCTTGACCATTGTCTTCATCTTAGATGCTGGCTAAGCTCCCTTAGGTCCAGGTGCCATTCTCAATGACACAGACCATCTCTTCTGCTGCTGAGGCATCCTGGCTGTGCAGACAGAGTGCAACAGTACTATCACCACAATGTCCCTCTGTCCCTCTGTGTCCAAGGCTGTCCGGGGCTGTCTAGGCTGTCCAGAACAGGGTTAGATTCTCCTCTGGCTGCAGGTAGACATCATACTGGTGCTTTGGGTGTTTATGTGGCTCCAGCCACAGGCAATTCTTTGGTCTCCCAAGCCTCCCAACTGATTGCTGAATTTGGTGAGATTTGGATGTATTCCTGTTCCATTTTGTCATGTCATATTTGGCTAGGAATACACTGTTGAAAAATACTATCATCTGGGCCTGGTGGCACAAGGTCTATAATCTTGGCCTTGGAAAGGCTGAGGTAGGAGGGTCTCAAGTTACAGACTAGCCTATAGTGAGACCCAGTCTCAACAGAGCCACACAAGAACCATCTAAGATGGAGCCTGGCAACTGATTTTCTTACTTGTGGATCATTGCCACCCCTTGAGTGTTGTGTTTTAGGATGTGTGAGCTTAGAGTCAAAAGCTTGGGTCCCTGGCACCAGCTAGGGCCACTGGTCCCTGTACTCCTCACTGCTTTTATGTCAGACTCAATTGCTAGATTTTATTCCTGTGGTGCCAGGCTTCTGTAAAAGAGGTGGGGGTGGGGAGCACCTGGAGAGATGGCTCTGCAATTGGGAACACTGACTGCTCTTCTAGAGGACCCAGTTCAACTCCTAACACCCACATGATAGCTCACAACTGTCTGTAACTCAAGTTCCAGGGGATCTGACATCTTCATACAGACACGCTTGCAGGCAAAACACCAATGCACATAAAATAAAATTAAAATAAGAAAAAGAGGTAAGAGGAAAGTCATAGCTAGCACTGATAGTGCTACAGCCACACAATATTAACTTACTAAGCCCACTTTACACTTGTTGTCCCTTAATTTAAGATAACCGTGTTCTGCATATCTTAAGAGCCCTTGGGTGTCCGCCATGTTGTCCCAAAGAACCAAAGGAAACACAGAACGTTGCTTTGTCAAGAGGGAGCTGTGTGTGCTGTGTGCCAGTCACTCATGCGATACAGCAGTGTCAGACAGCATGCATGGGATTGCAGAGCTGAGCTGTGCAGAGCTGTTCCTGCTCGCTGATGACACTAATCTCTAACGGTCTCTATGTTTCCAGAAAATTCTGATGTCCGAATCCTGAGTGTGCAGATTGTTGAGAGCTATTGTTGTGGGGTGTCCCAGGCAGGGGAATTGCAGGAATCTCCAGATACAGATGGAGAATCTGGGGGCGGGCACGTCTATCTCATGAAGAACCCACATGGGCACAGTTAAGGTGCTGGGCAGCAGTGGGCACTGGGGTTGGAGCTGGCAGGATAGCATGAACGGATCCTGTTGCTGTCCTACAGGCTAGGGTAGAGCCTGTTGCTGTCCTACAGGCTAGGGTAGAGCCTGTTGGCCATGGATGGTATTTGGAGACTTACTGGCCAGGACAACAGGGGGCCAGTGTAGGCTGCAGTAGGGTGCAGGCAGAGAGGTGGATGGGAGATAGGAAGGCTTGCAAGAAGTCCTAGGAGCTCACCTGCTGTTGGGCGAGGGAGAGAGCCAGCTGTTGAAAGGCAACAGGTGGAACATCTGGTGAACTCAGAGGCACTGCTGTGTCCCGTGGAAACACCCAGAAAACACACACGCTTGCCTCAGGCCTCAGCAGCAGCCAGGAAACAAACAAAACTCAGACAAGATTAAGTCCCAGCTCTGACTCCTGCTCCTGCAGGCTAGGAGTCTGGATCAGGGTCTGTCTGCTGAGATTTGAGACCTTGGTGCCTGCTGGGTAGAGGCTTGCTGGCCTTAGGCAAGCTACTCAACCTCTCTGAGCCTCAGCTACCCCATGCCCATGATGCATGTCCAGACAGATGAGGAAATATGTGTGAGGCCTGGGAGTGACAAAAAGTCGCCCTGCTCTACGACCAGCTGGCTTTGTGGTTACCGCTGCAACAACCCAGCTGACTCCACTTGACCCTGTCTCCCCAAGCATCACCTGGCCTGGCTAAGTTTCTCTAAAAGGGCACACGCTTCCAGGGTCACCCTGATATCACTAGATGTCAGTCTAGCCCTTGGCTGTTGTTGACCTGTGTCAACTACATTGGATGGGTTTATCCTATGGCCACTGTGTACCTGGCCGTAGAAGGGCACTGCAGCATTGTCAGGAAAAAAAACCCAGAAAGTAGAGGGCCCGGTGGCCACTATTTAGCTGTGTTACTCTTCTCGTGGATGTGGAGGCGGCAGACCTGGGCATCCACATGGTGTGGGCACTATGATAATTCTCCTTCATAGTGAGACAGAACCTACACAGGTCAGCTGCAGGACCCCATATCCTGCTACTGGGACCCCGTCTGGCTGTGTGAGCCCATCTTATGGTTCCTCATGTGGCTTCTGATTGTTACTTTGGTTCCTGGTTTCACTGGGGCAGGCATGGGGCATTTCTCTACCCAACTGCTCAAAGGCATTTGGGTTCTCTTCCAAGAAACCTGGTGCTGACCCCACTTGGCTCAGGTGTGTGCTGGTGGGGGCTGTGGATGACACGGGGGACTTGCTGATGAGAACTACAGGTGACCAGGTGCTTCCCCATGGCCCTCTCAGGCTCATCAAGGACCCTCCAGGAATCCAAAGGGAGCCCTATCCTCTGGTAACAATATAGGAGGGGCCCAGGAAAGATCACACAAAGACACTGGGGATGTGGTTGACAGTTGTTATGGGGACATGGATTCCTCAACTATAGAGCTAACTATAATTTTTCAAAGCTTATCCCAAAGATTTCTCCATGAGGATGAGGGTCACTGACTGGGTTGGACGCACCTCTGGTTGACAGAGACATGGCAGGTCTTGGTGGTTGTCTGTTAAAAAAGGACTAAGTAACTCCAGGCTCAGAAATAGACTTCATGCCTTCTGTGGGCTTGGTGCCATCAGAAAAATAGTTACAGCAACACAGACCCTCCCCACCCCTCCCAACACCCTTTTGGCTATGCCCCGGTGGGTGAAGCTTGGGTTTGGGTATGAGACGCCCATCTACACCCAGCTGCTCTGGGATCTGAGTCATTCAGCCTTTCTGAGCTTCCGTTTCTCCTAGTTAAAGACTTAGCTGTGGTAATTCCAGGTTACTCAACAGACCTAGAGAAATAGAGAAACTGCCAGACTGTTGACAATGTGCCTCGCCCCATTTTACACACCCACCACCAGGGTGCAGGCTTCCAGTTTCCCTGGCTCCTGATCATAGCCATCTTTGAGGGCAGGAAGCAGTAACAGCCTGCTTTTCTCTGGCGCCTGTGGCTCTTGGCCATCTTTTCATGCGCTGTCTTAGCTGAGCATCTGTCTTCTTGGGTGAAGTGCCTTTCTGCATCTTTCTCTTCCAGAAACATTGTTTTTAATTACATCGTGGCAGGGGGTGGGGGTGGGATGGGGAATGGGGGGGATGGGAGAGAGGGGGTGAGGAGGAGGGGTAAGGTGGTGAGATTTACATGTGATCCATGGAGGCCATAGGCGTTAGATCCTTGGAGCTAGAGTTCCTGACTCTTGTGAGCCACCCCAGCATGAGCGCTGGGAGCTGAACCCAAACCATCTCTCCAGCTCTACTTGTATCTTTTAAAGACACCATTTTTGTGTGTTTATGATGGGCACACGCGCATGCCTGCGCGCATATGCAGAGGTGAGAGGACAACTTCCCGCGGTCGGCTCTCTCCCTCACGGGACCCTGGGGATTGAATACAAGTTGTCCGGCTTACGCAGCAAGCTCTTTTTCCTGCAGAGCCATCTTTCTGCAGTCACTTTTACAGTTAGGCTGTCTGCTTCCGGACTGGTCAAGTGTTGCGGACTGGAGTCTCCTAGTGGGTCTGTGCGTCTGGAAAACCTTGATCTGCAGAAGGTGTTTTGATCATGGCATCTCAAAGCCCGTTGCTTTCCTTCTCATGGCCTTCATCTATCAATTTCTTCTTTCGCTACTTTGTTTTTCCTGTTACATCTAAGAAATCTTTGTCTAAGCCCAGGGCCACCCAGGGCCACGAATATGTATACTTCTGTTCTTCTAAACATTTATAATTTTTGACCTGGCATTACATCTATACAGGATTGACTGTGAGTTAAATTTTGTATGTGATGTGAGGAAAAGGTCCCTGTCCTTTGAGTGTGGGCACCCAACTGTCAGAGAGCCATTTCCACATTGGCTCCTGAGCTGAGGGTCACGGCTTCTTTTCGTTTTCTCCTTTTGTCCACCATGGTGGTCAGCAGACTGGTGGGTGTGGTATCAGCTGCTGTTTTAAGAAAGCGCTTCTCATTGCCTGATCTGGAGCAAGGAGCTCTCACAAGGACATATATGTCCATGTCAGTGATCATGTGACCAGCCATGACTGGCCAAAGGCCCTGGGGTCTACCCGGTCAGAGTGATTCTGTTAGCCTCTTTCCTGCTGTCTATTCCGGCCTCAATGTTCCTCTTGCTCCCTGCCTCAGCTTCCCCATCTGTGAACCATGGATGATAATAGCTCTTTACCTCCCAGGGCTACTAGACCAAAAAAAAAATTGTGATCTATGCTATGTGTGGTGGTATATGCCTATAAGCTCAGTATGTGGGGGTGGGGTGAGACCAGAAGATTACAAGTTCTAGGCCAACCTGGACTATATAGGGAGATCCCTACCTCAAAAAATGAACCCTGCATGATAGCTGCCCAATGCTCAGAGGAGCTGTTTGCTGTGACTGACATCAGCTTACGTTGATCAAACTGCTTCTACGGGGACGAAAAGAAAGGGCAGTCAGGGGCTCTTCTCCATGCAGACCATAGTGTCCGAGAGGCCACAGGACTCTGTCTTCTTGGGAAGCACAGCTTCTCTAGAAAGGTCTGGCAAAGCATGGCCCTTCAGATGCCACAAGAACACACAATGGTCCTCAGATAACCTCACAGTAGCAAGCCCAGTATTGGGATACAATGTAACATACATTTCTCCTCTCTGTCTGGTTTGTATTAGATCCATGTAGCAAGCAAGCATTCACCCACACACATGCCTGCATAATGTACCCCTCTTCTCAATGACATGCACGTAGATAAATGTGACTGCATCTCTGGTTTGTACTGGATCCAAATAACAAGCATGCATGTATATACACGCCCCTTCTTGCACACCCCTGCTCTTGGGCATAGAGGTGGGTAACACAGATGTATGAGCACATGTCCTTAGACACAGGTCCCTGCACACATCCTGCCTGCAACTCCTCCCTCTCCTGCCCCTTCATTTTCACTTATAAGCAGCTCTCTCACGACAGGCTAGGCTCCATGGCCATAGCCCCCATCCATCCTTCTCAGGTCTGTCCTCACCTGCCCCTTTTTGCAAATCCGCCCCCCACCCCCGACACCTGAGTCCTAACTTTGCCTCCTGGGGTGGAGGGCTGTCAGACTCTGTGCTGCTGTTACTTTTTTTGTCAGGAGGCCACCCTGTGCCTTTTAGGATGTTTAGTGATGTCCCTGGCTTGTCCCCAGCCAGACTGGTTGTGCCTCCTTCCTCCAGTTGTGATGACCGAAACTCATCTCCGAACACTGCAGATGGCATCTGCAGCCATAGTCTTAGGAAACACAGATGCCCCCACAGGCTCTTATCCAGGCTGTTCAGGCTAGAACGGGTGCTAGTGGGCAGGGGCAGAGGAGAGATCTGCTGGGCGTGTTTTCGAGCGTATCTTGCATTGAGAATCCCTTGCGCACTTGTCTCCAGGGCCTTGCACACTTTTCTCCAGCTGTCCAGAGCGTCCTGTGCCCTCCTGGCCTTGTAGACTTGCTGTGACTCTCTCGTCGTTTCTGCGGGTGCCCAGGACCCCGCAGCCTCTCCTCCTTGGCTACAGCCACCTTTGCCTGCAAGTATGTCTGCAAAATTCACAGAAATGGAGAGAGACGTGGAGCAAGCCGCCGAGCTGAACCCCTCTTCTGATGAGGAAGCCTTAGTTCTGAGGCAGAAGCCTGAATTGATGCAAGTCCGAGACAAGGGTGACGTCACTCTGCAGCAGTGGAAAACGCGGCAGCTGCAGCGCCTGGCTGAGGAGTTGAAGGCAGAGTGGCAGGAGGCCCGGCTGCAGCAGGTTAGAGACATGGAACGCCTCTATTTAGCCCGTCTGTTGGATGAAGCAACAGGGCGGGCCTCGGGAAACAACTTCAGCTTGGACGAGCACAGCCAAAGAGGAGCAGCAAAACACATGAGGGCTAAGGAGAGAAACAGAGCAGCCTTCCGAGAGGAGAGGGGCCACCGGGAAGAGCACCCCAGGCAACACCCTAGGTCCCGGAAAAAAGCAGCATGCTCAGAGAGACGGGGTTCTACCAAAGCCCGGGTCCCAAACCCCTGTGAGAAGGGTAAAGGGAAACGGGTGTCTTCGAGTAAGAGCAGTGGTGGCTACCAGCCCTTGGGCCCTCGGGTGAGCAGAAGGGCAGACCTGGCAAAGCTCAACCCACTTTTGAGTGGGCCTGGGGAAACTGAGTGCGTGGAGGAAGTACCCCAGGAGGGGAGGCGGCCGATGAAAAGGGGGTCTTCACGCTTTACTCAGAACGTGAATCACAACTCTACAGATGAGAGTCTGCAGGACAAAACAGCTAACTTAGAAAAACCCTTGCCCCTCAGCTCCACCTTCAGACAGGAGGCCACAACCCAGGGGGCGAGCAGGTACAGCGATAAGAATCAGTGGCACAAAGAGCTTGAGTCTGCCTTCGAGGAATTGTTTAACACCAATCGGAAGCTGAAGAGACATCTGAATTTGCACCTGGGACAGAGGCTCAATATAGACCAGGATCCAGATGAGCAGCAGAGCTGCTCAGAAATTCAGGGTGAGAGCAGCGACATCCAGAGAGGGGAGAGTGCAGAGGAGGCAGAAACGACTGCTGAGGGGTGTGGAAGCCCATCAGACATGGAGGCCCCTGAAATGTGGTCCAAGACCAATTTGAAACAGTTGCTAAGTGAGGCCGAGTACCCCAGGTACCAGCCCATGGCAAAGCACGTATTAAAGCCTGAAAGCCTGACACCTGTTCCCGAGGCAGGAACATCTAGCGAACAAGATGACTCATTCTCAGAGAGCCCAGAGTCAGGATGGCTCAAGTCAGCCACAGCAGAGGAAGAAAGCCTTAAGCCTTACCTGCAGAAACAGGACAGCTCTATAGCAAGCTGGTTGGCTATGAGGCAAAAGCAGAAGGCAGAGTTGGAGCACAGAAGGCAAAAGACATTGTTGGAGCTGACAGAACACCCCAACATGAGCTTGGAAATCCATTACAAGGCTGAACTAGAGGAAGAACGCAGGGAACGCAGAAGGATGCGTTTGGCTCTCCTCAAGTCTTATTCCACTGGGATCCCGGCCCCAGTCTCTGACAAAAACACTTCCCTGGACAATGGCCTTCTCGACGAGGACAAACAGAGCCAGATGATCCGTGACCTCCAGCAGCAGATTTTAGAGCAAAACAAATTACACAAGCAGTTTTTGGAAAAAGCCAGGAAACGCTTGCAAGAGTTTCAAAAGACATTTTAAAGGCAGACCCACCCGAGATAAATACATCCCTGATGGCCGCTTTGCCTGCACCATGCCTGCATCTCTTAAGTCTGTTTATTCACCATCTTGGCAAACTCCTTCCTGCAGAAGCAGAATCCCTGTGGGGTCCAGAGAGGGAGTCTATCCCAAGTTCTGCAGATGGAGTCTGTTTTTATGGGCTGTGGGTACTTAATGGAAACCCCAGGTAGAATCAGCTCTTGAGATGTTTTAGCTAAACCCTGGGCTTTCAGGGGCATTCAGGGTCAGACGGGCGCAATTTCAAAAGATACATCATTGCTTTCTTGGCCTCTGGCTGAGACAATGTCAGAGCCATTAGCTAAACCTCTCTCCTGTAGAAGGCGGCTACACACAAAAAGACAAAGCCAACATTGTTTCACAATGTATGCATTCTTAGAACCTTTATGGGTGGGGGGAGCAGGCAAACCCCCTCCCAGCTGGGTGACACTGTCACCCAGTGATGATGGGGCCAGTGCTGATGGGTGGGGGTGGGAGGGAAGACCTGGGTGTGAAGTTTACTGTTCCTTAGCTTTTCAAAATGAACCAGCAGCCACCTGACTGTGAGGAGCACATGTTGGATAGATTGGGGGTCACTCTGAACCGGCAGCCACCTGGCTGTGGGGAGCTCATACCAGGTAGGCAGTAGCCAACATACTTTTCTCTGCAGAGCCTAGAGGATGAAAGCGCTTGCTCTGCCAACCAGCCTCTGGCCACTGCTCGGCTCTACTGCTGCACCCCCAAAGCTGCTGTGGAAGGGCTAGGCTTAGAGCAGCATAAAGTAGGATGCATGAGACCCTAGGTTCAATCCCCAATACTGTTGAGGCATTGGTGGTAGTGGGGTCTGCCTTAGAACTTGTAATCATGAGTGGGTGTGGCCAAGTACAATGAGACTTGTTTGGCTAAGACAGTGACTGCTGGCTGTGGCTCTTTGTTAGTTTCTGGGGCTTTTCTCATTTCTTCCCTTCCTCCTCCCATCTTTCTGTCACGGCCTTCTTCCAGATACCTTGATTGATCATATTTGATCACAACTCATTAGGAATATTGGTCCATAAATGGCCATATTTATCTCCTATGTGTTTGGCAGATGATATAATGAACAACATTAAGTATGTCAGCCAAACCCACAACATGGGTAGGAGGAGGAGCCAAAAGCAGGCCCTCTGCCATGTATTATCTTTCCTAATCTCTTGTGTCTTCCTCAGACATGTACCTGCTGAGCCCTTCAACATACACATGTGTGTTGAACACGGTCAGTCGTGGGTGCTTTTCCTTGGGGTTGAAGTTCCTCTTCCCTGCTGTGGTCTAGCTCTTGATGTTCAGCCACAAGTCCAGAACCTCTGCTTGCTCGCCCTCTGCTTGCTCGCCCTCACGGTGGCAGGATCTTCTCGTGGGCTGCCCGAGCCTGTCTTCCAGGATCCCAGCTGTGTCTGTGCCCCTTTCTGGAAAGAGAGGCCGTGCCGCCAGCGCCTTTGGATCAGGTCTGGTGCTGAGACGCACTTTCAGAGTCTAACCCCAGCTTTGGCACCAGCTCTTGTTTAAAACGCTTTTGGAAGCTGCAAATGAAAACGTGCAGCTGGGGCGTAGGTGGGAGGGCTCCGCTCACCACCCCTCTGCTTCCCGTTGGCGCCATCTCTCCTGAAAGAGATTCATCTGCTCTCCTGATACTTTTTCACTTCTACTGAGTACCAAACTCTGTCCCTGACCCTGTCCACAGCTCTGTCCCAGGAGGTAAGCCGTGGATGGCACAGGAGGGCCATGTAACTTGTGGCTTGTAGAAAACACAAGCAACGAGTAGCCTTGTGTGGTGAGTGTTGGCCAGGGGCTAGGCCTATAGCAAGATGCGAAACACTGGCCCTGTGTGTGGTTCTGAGCATCCTGAACCTAAGGCTTCCTCTGCCACACTGCTCATTTGGCTGGACTCTCTCTCCCAGGGTTTGAGATTTGCCTTTTGTTTCTCTGCCATTGTCCTTTGTTCCCACGCGATGCCTCGCTGCCAGTTGTTGCTCAGGGCTGTCTGGACACCCTGCAGCATCACCTCTGTCCCGAAGAGTAGTGTGTATGTTTGTGGCACTCCTTAGCTTAAAGCTGTGGTCACAACTGGCCCTTACATTGCGTAACTGAGCCTCCCGACTTAGTTGGAAGCCACAGCCCAATGAGCAGACACATCTTCCCGGAGCCCAGTGTTTTTGTTTCCATTTGCAAAGATGGTATTTGTGGCCCGTGTTCTGGGTAAGGAATCGCTCCTTCTTGGCTACACTGAGCTAAAAGTAGGTGTAGGGATGGGCGTTGAGACACGGCAGAGGGTGACTCATCTCAGCCTGGACAGTAACACCTACACTGTCCCTTGGCAGCAAGGACGAGAAGATACCCTGCCCTCTCCCCGTGTCTTATAGAAGGTTAAAGAGGGGTGAGCAAGCCTTGGCCCGGGTCAGTGGCGTGGGTAGTGAGTCCAATCCTGAGGGTCTCCTCACTAAAGACTATAACTTCCCAATGACTCCCTAAGGAGCTCTCATGGCTGCTTCCCACCTCACCCTCGGAGGCTCGGGAGTCTGCGTAGACCCTGTTTTCACTCTTTTACTCCCATCAGGACATCTGAGTGGCAACGGAAAAGAAGTCCTCAGGTGCAACCTGGAGTCTTCCAGCCCCCTCTTCTCTTCTAACTTGTGAGCTTCCACAGGGAACCTGTGCACCATAGATAGTGACAGGAACAAAAAGGGTCTGGCACCCTGGGTGCCAGGTAAGAGGTCAACGCTCTGACCTTTCCCAACCTTGACACTCTATCTCCTCCCCTCGTGCCCAGCTTGCAGCCATTTCTGTCACCAACTCCCTCATTCTTGTCACAAGTATTCAAAGCGGGAACAATTTTGGCTCCTGCTGGCACCACTCCAATCCTTCCTGAAACATTAGTTCACATATGGTCATTCTGACCGGGACGGGAAGGGCAGTAGTCATACTCCAGGTCTACAAGCTGCCTGGTCCATTCTCCAGCTGACTGTAATGCGGGGGGGGGGGGGCAGTACCACGGAAAGGTGTGTGTAGCTTCTGCCCGGAAGCGGGAGAACCCGGGCTCTCCCCAACTACCTCTGCAGAGCACTGGGCACCGCTGAGCTGCTCCCTGACTTTGTGTGTCTGTACTCACACGGGAAGGCGGGTGCAGGATCTTTATTCCTGCTAGGGACTGCATTTATCAGAATCCTGGCCATCCAGCTACTTCCGTGTGTCTCACCCATGCATCTTCTCCAGTCTACGTGGATTCAAGACACACCTGGGGCTGACCAAGTGGTGGACAGGCACCGTGTTTGCCCAAGAGGTTTGAAGGACAGCATCAATATCACTGTCCACAGGGTGGGGCATGCCCAGAGTATCCAACAGGTGAGAGATGCAGGCACAGTGAATCGACTTCCCTTCCCTGCTCACTGCCACACTGGCTGAACCGTTCAGTCATGACCGTGATGATGCTGTTGAAGCAGGATTGGTTCAGTCACCTGTCTCCACTGAACCCTGTGCACAGGCAGCACCCAGGACTCCATACCTCTGAGAGGGTGGGTTTCAGATAGGGGTGTGAAATTGAGTGTGGGGCAGGGACCTTCTCTAACCTCTATTGTCCCTCCAACAAGTAGAAAATGACAAGAGGTCAGTGCAGACCTCTGAGACCAGACAGGGTCTGGCTTCCAGCCAGTCATGAGAGGAGCCAGACCGGGGAAGCTGCAGGCCCCGGACTATCTGGTTGGAGACTTGAGAGCTGTCCTGAATGTCCTCCCATACACCATGGCGTGGTGGTGGTGGGGGGGGGCTGTACCAATGAGGGGATGGGGAGTAGGAACCCACGTCCTCCTGTCCTCCCTTCAGACATGGTTTGTTGACTCTGCTCACAGCCCTATGCCCTAGTGTTTCACTCATGGGCAGGGCTTGTCAGTGCTAAGCGCTGAAGCAGAGGTCACAGGTCGCCTTAGGTTTGCTCCTGGAAACGAATGAAGAAAGATGACCGCTGGCCCTTGGCAGCAGCAGCAGATGCTGAATGGAAAAGATCCTGATCCGCCCCTGCTGTCATGTCCCCCAGCCTCTTCCCCAGGGTTGTGTGGAGACGTCTTACAGAGGTTGGCAGAATACCCCAGGGACCTCTCTAGGCTCTCTCTGCCTCCAGCCCTGCCAGGCTACTGCCCAGCTTAGCCGGGTTTGGGATTTGCAGAGCTGAGCTTGGCTTCCTCGAGGCCCTTGGCTCTTTGGCGGAGAAACTGCCGAGCAGCAGCCTCCTCCACAAAGCCACACTGTTCTCAGCAAACCCTCCCAGGAGCGGGACACATTTTTTTCAAATGATTCAGCAGCACGTGAATGGGAAGGGCCGCACTTAAGGCCCTGGCATGAGATCTCGCTGGTCCGCAGCTGGAAAGGACGGGTGGCAGGGCGTGGCTTGGTCTCACCAGGCCTAGAGGGAAGGAGCCAGGGTCCTGGGGAGCACGAGGCAGCTGGAGGGCTGGGCCAAGAATCTTCTGCGCGCTCATATAGATGCGCCATCGCCCTCCCTGAGAAGAGCCAAAGCAATGGGCAGGAAATGGAGATGGGAAAGCTGGTCTCCATGGAGACGGGCATCTAGCGGACAGCCACCCTCCTGTGCGTGCTAGCATGCTAGAATCTGAGCGATGGGCAGGGAGCCTGCTGCTAGGCAGGCCTGGCATATTCCCAGGCAGCAGTCCATGGATGGTGTGGCCCAGAGCTGAATGCCCTACAGTCCCCTTGCCGGTCCCCTCTCTGCCTCACCCTCCGCCACACCCATCTGCCTGCCTTGGCCTGAGTTATTAGAGATGAGCGGGTCTTGACCTCATCCTGAGTAGGCTCAGCCCTACCCCAAGGCTGGGACCCTGTTTGGTTTTACACTCCCCACGAAAGCCCAGTTGCTGCCTGTGAGGGGATCGATCATCCGATTTGGGAGTGTCTGTGGGAGGGGCTGGCCTCAGCTGCTGATGCAGGAAAGCTGTGCCCAATCCTGGTCACCAGCACAGAACTGTTTTTAATTACTGAATGACAGCCCCTTTTTCC